TCTCTCTCTCTCTCTCTCTCTCCCTCATTTATACAGGGCTGGGTATGAAATACTTTTATTCTAATCACAATATTTGTAATATTATTGTACGGATGTGAAATATAAAATATAATTATCTTACGAATACTGTTTTTCAAATAAAAGTTTTTCATATACATGCCCAGCCTTGTACATTTATTATTTATCGCATCTTTTACATACTTATCTTCCAGATTGTTAGTGGCGATATTCAAGGAGTCAGTCAGGCATCAGTGTCGCGTATTGTTACAAGAGTGTCAAAAATTATAGCTTCACATTTAGGGCAGTACATCACGTTCTCCACACAAGAGCGCCGAAGACAATATATGAATCAATTTTACGAGATAGCCAATTTTCCTTCTGTAATAGGATGTATTGACTGTACACACATACGCATTGCTAATCCTGGAGAACACAATGGAGAAATATTTCGGAACCGAAAAGGATGGTTCTCTTTCAATGTACAGGTATATTTTTCAATTTACGTATTTATAATAGTTTGCATAAGAATACGAAAATAATAGGCTTGTCTTTTTTAACTTCTTGCACTGTTTATTTTGTCTCTTTTTTTTCCAACGTGGAAAGAAAAAGACAAAAAGATGAATTGTCTGTGTATAATAAGTCTGGAAAAAGAAACAGACTTAATGAACCACTTGAGACTTATTTGCCGTTATAGGTTGTGTCTGGACCAAATCGAGAAATCCTAGATATAGTTGTGAGACATCCTGGTTCTGCACATGATGCCTTGATATTTGATCGAAGTGGTGTGCGATGTCGTTTTGAATTAGGACATCTCGATAGTATTTTATTAGGAGACAGCAGATATGCGTGCCGCAGATATTTACTCACTCCTGTATTAAGGCCTCAAAGTGATGCAGAACTCAGATACAACACTGCACATAAGCGGACCAGAGTCACTATTGAACAACTGTTCGGAATGTGGAAGCGCCGCTTTCCATGTTTATATTACAGTTTAAGAACTAAACTAAGCACATCCGTTGCAATTATATGTGCGACTGCTGTTTTACATAATATATGTATTCAACATAAACTTGATGAAATTCCAGAACAGGACGTATACGACGATGTATTTGAGGCTATTTACAATCATGAAGAAGATGGTATTGGACTTGCTCATAGAACTGCCTTTACAACAAGACATTTTTCATAGAAAATATTGCTAAGAAATAAATCTTTTCGTAAATATATTGAGTAACTTAATTTTATTAATATCAATCATTTTATAAAAGTAAACAATTTTGTTATTGTTCCAAAACATGCAAATAAAATTAATAAATTTTTTGAACATATTTAAGTGATAAAGGAACTCATACCATATACTCAATCTACTTATTAGACTTAATAATATAATTTAAATCATTTAGTACACATAACTCTTTGGTAACATATGAAAGCTTAATTAAATATCACAAGATTACTCTGTAATCACAGTTCCCTCAGATTGCAGTTGGACTGTCTCTTCTGTTAAGGAAAGTTTCAGCAATGTAATTTTCAATTCAGCATCTGCAACCTTCAATTTTATAGCATACAGTTCCCGTTGCTGTTCAATACCTTCACGAAGTTTTATCAACCGTAACTCTTTTTCGTCACGTATATTTTTAAGTTCATTGCCTACATCAGGCTGAAAAGCTACTTTAGAATTGTTGACGTTTCTGCTTATATTTACTATATCATTTGAATTAGATTTTATTATCTTCGTGTTGATGAGTTTTGAAGTATCAAATTTTTTAGGCACATCAGGCACGGCATCATCCTCATCATCACTTATAATTATTTGCCTTTTCCCTGAATCACTTTTTATATTATCTAAAAACAAAAAACAAGAAAATTACTCAAAATATTGGTTCAAGTAAAGAAAAATATCTATTAAATCTTTATAATGAACATACATACATTCTTTTTTGAATTCAGCGGTACTGTCATATGGACACCATACTTCAAGATCCAAGTTTGGAGTTGCGGCATCCATAGCATCCATGACTGGATCATTAGGTATCGTTACTGGACAACCTCCACCCGTCATAAGACGCTGAGCCTTTATTGTGGTGTTTCTTTTTTCTGAAATAATGAATTAATATAATTATGATAACAACATGAAATATAAGTATAACTGTAATTACAAATATATGCACATTGATATTTTACAAAAACATATACTACATACTCATTATTATTAATGTTAATAATAAAATAAGATAGATATTAATACATGAGATAAGTACTTCTGCTTCATGTTATCCCAGCATTTTTTAAGCTGTTTGCTAGTACGGGGTATACAGCCTTCACTGCAGTATTTTTTAACAATTCTTTCCCAAGCTTCAGTTTTAGCTTTCAAATCTGTTGCTCCTGTTCTTTTATTTTCTATTACATCTTTTTCTTCAGATACTAGTTGAACAAGGAGCATCCGCTTCTTTTCGGTATAATGAATATTTTTAGATTCACTTTCCATAATTGCACTTATTCACCTTCCAAAATTGCATTTAATAAGTAAATAGGTTATATTTTTTCGCGCTTTCTGATGAAGAAGTGGCATATAAATCGTAAGTTACTAAAAGTTCCTAGAAAACAGGTTCCTTCTACAAGGAAACCTTAAGATCTCTTCATGAAACAAGGAAGTCTTGATAAAATAAGGATTCCTTCAATAAGGCTTCCTTAGTCCTCAAGATGAGGAAGGACTATGAATACGGGTATAGGTACCAAGGTAAGGACACTCCCTCTTGTAAAAAGTTAAGACGTATTTCTGCGCCATCTGGGCGAATAGACCAAGTTTTGGAAACTAAACGGCAGGATTCTCCTACTCTCGCTCGATCGAATCGGTCAAATCGGTCTAATTTAGATTTGAGCCGTTCACAGATCAAAGTGATTAATTCCACTTTTTGAATTTTTTTTAAATTTTAGTGTCCAAGGACTCTTTATTGATGCTTTAGTATTAAAATTAAAAAAAAATTCAATAAGAAATTAATCACTTTGACCTGTGAATGGCTCAAAAGTGGAATATTCTCTTTCCAGTAATTTTATGCAGTTACACATTTTTGAATAAATAAAGAAAAATTGCAAATAAGATAATTTATTCATTTATTAATTAAGGTTATATAAAAATAACTTTTTACATGTTTTATACCTATATCTAGCGAGAAATGATGATAGAATCGACATCGAATCGACGTCGATTTGATGATTTCGACGTCAATTTGACATTGATTCGATGTCGATTCCATTATCATTTCTCGCTGGATATGGTTTACACACTTATAGTATGATACAAAATAAGAAAATATTAAATACAAAGGAAAACAAAAATAGATTGAAATGGATTGGACATTTTGTCTATTCGAATGCGTATTTTAAAGAGCGAAAACTTTTTTTTTTATTCAATTGGATTCAATTAGATTCAATTGGATGCAATTGGATTGAAAAACTGCATTTCCTATTCAAAATTTTGAATTGAACAGTATTTACGCTGCACTGAAAAAGTTGATATTATTTTTTTATTAAAAGACATACAGATATGCTCCATGCAATTCCTATAAATTAATAAAAATGCATTCAGAATTGAAAAGGATTCATTTTAATATTCATGAATCCATATTTCTGAAAATCTGAATCCATTTTAATTAATTTCAATCCATTTTCGTTTGACTAAGGTTATAAAATATTCCCTACATAGTAAAAAATTGGAAGCGTTCAGGAGGATGCATTCTAAGATTTTGAAAGTCTCAAGAACGCTTCAGGAAGTTTTTCACTATGTCGGTTTTGCATGTAGAATACTTTATGATTCTTGAATAGTCACCATATTGAATTATGTCATAAATAAGAAATGACGTTAAAATTTCTTGCGTGCCATTTGTAAATAAAGAGGACGTAGATAAAACAAAATAATCAAATCATTTTACAACACTTGGAAAAGTGGCTGAAAGCTATCTTTACCTGTCCTGAGTCAATAAATAGTCGTAAAAGGTGATAAAAGGCACATGAAGTGCGTTTTTTTAATGCGTGTACGCAGCCTATTTTCACTTTACGTGTCTTTTACAACTATTTATTGATTGCCAGAGCAGATAAAGATAGCTTTCGGCTATATTTCTATTTTTTTTTAATTCTATTTATTTTGTTCTATCCACATTTTCTTTATTTACAAATAGCATGCAAACAACTTTTATATGTCATTTCTCGCTTATGACATAACAATTTCATATGCCTATGGTGACTACTCAGGACTTTAAATGTAGAATACTTATATTTTACGATGTATATTTTTCAGTTTTGCATTAAAATAAAGTATTGCTTTTTTTTCTATAATATTACGTGGTTTCGTTGTATCTTTACCAGTTAGCTTTTTATTAATGTTATGACACCATTGTGAAATTGAACAATTTTTTAAAATAATTTGTACAAAGGTATCTTGAAAAATAAACTTATGTTCTTCACATGTAAAGAAAGAAAAATCTACTTCATCTTCAATAATAGTTTTTAAATGCTTACGAACTCCTTTACGAAAACATATAGATGGCATTTTGTTTTGGTATACAATAAAAGCTTTACGTATGATAGAATCTATTATTTGCAATGAAGTATTTTCTTTGCATAGATAACAACTATTAAAAGGTTGCATGTTAAATAATTCATCGATAATATGTTTATAAGTCAAGTTATTGTTAACCGAATCAAGATCATTTAATGACTCCGATATATTGTCAACTTCTGCTATTTCTTCAGTTTCCTCGGTATTTGAACTATTTAATGAACCAATACTATTTTCTACAAAATATTGCAATGAAAATAAAACCTTTCCATTTGTGTCTTCTTCACAATTACTGCCTACACTATGTGTTGTGACGTGACATTTTGTCCGTCACTGTGCGGACTTGTCGACGGC